AGAAAATCATTAAGATTTACCAAAAAATATCATTTCCATCTCCAAAAAAAAAAATTATTTTTTTTGAAAGTTTTGCAAAAACTGTCAACAGAATTATTGACAAATTTATTTTTAGTTGACGCAGTTACAGTCCACCACCACCACCACCACCACCATCACCGCTTTTCACAACGACGACGACGACGACGACGGGAACGGCAGCGGAAATGGCAGCAACAGCAGCACAAAGATTAACGTATCCAAATACCGCAGTGCATTTATCTATTAGGGAAAAAAAAGAAGAAAAAAAATTTGAGAAACTGAATGAAGAAAAAAAAATCACACACGCATTATACATTTAAAAAATGTTCATTTTTTAAAATCGAAAAAAAAAATGAACGTCAGTCAGGAAAAAATTTATATAATAATAATAATAATAATAATAATAATAATAATAATGGTATTAGTTATTGGTATTACTGTTATTATAATATCATTGATAATAATAATAATAATAATAATAATAATAATAATAATAATAAAAAGGTGAACAACAAAACAGCAAACAACAATAAAAACAAGACAAAAAAAAATTTTAGAATTAAGCAGTAAAAAAAACGCTGTTTTTTTTGTTTTTTTGTTTATCAATGGTAAACAAATTTCATTCTCACAAATCTGAACTGCAATAATATATATACAAAAAAAAACTACATATTTATAGTAGCAAAAATAAATATATCATATTGCTTATATGTGCCCTATATTTGTATTTCCCATAACTAACTGTTTCAACGCTGCTGAACAACGTCTAAAAAAAATAATTTACTGCAAAATTGACACATCAATACGGTTTACAATTAGATAAAATTATGAGTAAAAATCAATAAATAATACACAAATAATTAACAAATAAATACTGTTGCTAAAAAGTAATAGTAAAAAAAAAAATCAAAAAAATTTTAACAAAATAAGCAAATAAAAACATAACAATTGGTCAATAATTATAGCACCATTTCGGTTGAGAAACGAAAAAAGGAAAGAAGAAAAAATTTGCCTAAGACTATTTGCTTAAAGAATTGAAGAGGAGAGAAAAACAAAGATGAAGCAAAGCATAACAATTTTTCAATGTAATAAAATCTAATAAAACATCATCTAAATAACAATAAAATATTTTTTGACCAATACACACACAAACAC